GTTTAAGTCTCATTAAGCTCATGAACTTAGATAGTAGTTCAACACTTATACCCTTTGTTAATGGATCAGTGATCATATCTGATGAGGGCAAGCAACTAATAGTTACTTTACATTTCTCAACTACATCTTGAATGTAGTGATATTGGACATCTACATGTCATCTTTTGGAGTTATTTGCTCCACTTTGAAATAATTTAATTGCGGCTTGATTATCACAAAATATTTGGATCGGTCTGTCGATTATTTGCAGCTTCAAGTAATCTATGAAGCGCTTTATCTAGACGACGAAAGTACAAGCAGTGCTACATGCAATGTATTATGCTTCTTGTGTGTACCTTGCTACACACCCTTGTTCTTATTACACCAAGAAACAGCTGCCCCTCCAAAGAGAAAAATAGGTCCTGAGGTGGACTTACTATCTTCTTTATCCTCATCAAAATCTGCATCTTAATATCATATAATGTCAAGCTTATCTGCTTGAAAACACATTTTTAGATGCATTTGTTCTCTTAATGTACTTTAGAATTCTTTTTATTGTTTTCCAATGACTCAAATCTGGTTTTGTACATCTTACTGCATATATCAAGCTACCAATAGCTTGTGCATAGGGAATGTTAAGCTTTTCTTATCTTTCTACTGGACAATCATTCTTAGTCAACTTTACTCTAATGGTTTACAATTTTCCATTGAAACCTTTTGAGGACAGAGCCAAGATATCTCTCTTGGCTCAAACACAACAATTTTTTTTCTTATCTCTAGTTATTTTTATGCCTAGAGTGTAAGATGCTTCTCCCATATCCTTCATCTCAAACCGAGAAGAAAGTCATGACTTAGTCTTATCAATCGTTTCTAAGTCATTTCTAACTATTAAGATAAATCTACATATAATAAAAGTATTGTGAATTTACTCTCACTCTTCAAGACGTACACAATGGTCCAATCCAATGGTTTAAAAAACAGATCGGTGACCTGGATCGGGCGCCCAGAAAACCGATTTGGATCGGCGAATCGGTGATCCGGATCCGGAATCGGGTGAATCGGTCAGAATAAAGCTTAAAAAAAATCCGAACAAATTATTAAAATTCATTATAAATATTCTTTTTTAGGAATTCAATAAGAAATGAGGGTACTCCATTAAGAATTTTCATGTTTTTGAATGAATATGCGAATATTGATATGTTCTTTCCCTGCGTGATCCGCCATTCAGCATTTAATTTACATCACACAAAAGTATAGACATAGAATTATCATGGAATAAGTATATCAACATACATGGACTACAATAAAGCATAAAATTAGTAACATATGATCTAAAAATAAAATGATAGACGACATTATTGTTCTTCTTGGTCACGCTGGTGCCATTGATTGAATTCGTTTAATTCGATCTAAAAACGAATCATCGATATTAGCAGGCGTCTGACTATTCCCAAATCCCTGAGTGTTAGTGTTTTGTTGTGTTCCCAATCCAAAATCCCCAAAGCTTGTCCATCCTTCATGCTCACCTGCACTGTCGTGCTCATCCCTACACTGTTGCTGTTGGGACTCGATATGTGAATAATATGGCTGGGATAGGGTGGCCTCAGAATCTTCATCTCTCTCATTTTCTCTTTGAATAATATGGATTAAAAAAAAATGTAACAAATTTTCAAAAAAATCGATCATGGATTAAAAAAAAAAAATCACAAA